AGCATGATAATGATGATGATTGATCGAGATCTGGTTCTGTTTTTTGTTCTGCTGGGACAGGTTTTCAGCTCAAACCCTAGCCCTAAACACCCTAGATCCTAAACACTAGAACGTGGACGGGGAACTTCAAAGTTTCTGCAAACCCTGAATATTTCACAGCACCCCATGATGCAATCTTGTTCAACTGCCGACTGCTGGGTCTCTATCGCAAGGGTATCCCCTGTTACCTGAGGTTCTTCGACGTAAGTTTGCGCGAGCCGGCTCTGGATCTATCTTGACCGCTCTCATACGAATTCTGGCGTTTGCTGGACAGAATTGCCCTCAAGCCAATCTGAACGAATTGCAGGCTGACGCTGCAGTCAAGGCCCTTATGGTTTTTGGAACATTTTGGGCCGCTCCCAGACCCATTGGGGTTATATAAGGGATAATGGAAAATAAAATGGAAACTACAATATTGCGGGTATTTGGGGATATACGGTACCCAATGTAGGGTTTAGGGCCCTATAATGGAGAATCAAATTGAAAAAAATGGAAAATTAAATAGAAACTGGGATTATACTGAGCTACACGCATGAGCCCCAGAAGCACATGACGCTCGAATTTCATCTCCGCCTTCATGCATTACCATACCCCTAGCTAGGGATCCACATAGCCCAACTAAGTAATATTTGCCAACTTTAGGGCCCGTTCAGCAGATGACTCAAGGAGCACATGTAGCTGGGTTGCTGTCAAGGTAAAGTTACCTTAAGAAGGGACACGATCATTTACAACCTATCCAGAAAGGTCATTTTAGTCGCCCGGGCACGGGCTATGGTTCGGCTGCCGTCCTGACATGCTGGTTTGTTCGTTTTGTGGCAGCGTGCTGGTACGAATGGATGCAAACTTGATCTTGGTGCATTTTTTTGGTTGTGGCTTTTCATTTGGATTTCAAAAGAGCGTAGGCTCTGTGGGCACACGACGGCGCTTGTGCTTTGCTCTAGGCTTCTGCCAAGGGCAGCGGCTTTTGTCGGAGGATGCCCGAATCAATCAATTGAAGCCAGATCTGGGGCGGTGACAAGTACAATGATTTTGCGACGGGTTGTGAGGGAGATGACGTGGATGACCTTCCTAGCGGTTCAGGATACTCCTGCATGACCGATGCAGCATCTGGAAATCTTCACATGCTCTCGAAGTGCATGGCGGTCCGAAGCTATGGTTTTGTTATTTCTTCACTTGCAGCATTGGCAAGAAGACAGCAGAAAACAGAAAGAGAAAAAGACAGGTCAAAAAGGAAGAGCAGGCAGGACACAGCTCGGGGGCGTCTAAGCTTCGGGAAGTGGCAATATCCGGCTTTGGCCAGACTTCTGACTTCACGACTGGCAAACGAGCATGAGCGACACATCACTCACGTCTCTTCAAGTTGTTTTCCAGCACTCTCACAAAAGGGCAGCACGCCGAGGGAGGTTCATTTTGGGTGGTTGATTTTTTTTTTTTTACGGGCCAAGCTGAATATCGAGCAGCCGCCCCCCTGCAAAAAAATACGATAGGCACATATAGGCAGGACAACGTCTCAAATATGCGATTCTGTGTCTGGGACTGACACAACCTCGGTGAACGATTTCGCAAAAACCAAATCTTGATCTGACAAAATGTGTGTATTGTAGCTGTTGGAAAGACGGCTGTGCCTACAGACGGACTGTTTATATCAATCACACGGGGCGTGTGACAACCAAGGAAAATTAGCCATACAACTCCGGTGCAGAATGCTGCAAGGCCACCCAAAGCACAAGGTAGCGAAACGCATCCGCTTGCTCGACAGGCAAGAGCCCATTCCAGATTGGCCAGATCAGCTCTGGGGATGTTCTTTCCACGAGCCAGGCTACCTGGCTGGTTTTCAAGTCACTGAGACCTAAATCCAATCCAGAAAATCCTGGCACTAGTGTGTTCTCTTCACTAGTACCCAACGCGTCCTAGTAGGTATACAGTATACCAAAACCCTCTTGGCACACTTTATTCGGTCTGGAAGGGCCCCTAAGACAGGGTACCCAGACCTAGATAGAGGGTAGTTGGAGGGTCTAGGTTTCCTTGTTGGGGCCCGCTTGTGTCTACTGTAAATCATGTAGCTGCATGGTCGCTTTGGGTCATTCACATATGCCCTGCGAAATATGTTTCTCCCAAAATCTGCCAGAAGATCTGCGGGGCTGGGAGGCCTTATAATACGGGTTATAGGGGCAGATGGGGATCTAACAGCAACTTTATACAATAATAGCCCAATTATCGAAAATCAAATCGGGATTGCATAGCAAATGTCCGTGACTTTTGCAAAACCTCCACCTCTGTGTCGTCCCAAAGCTTGTACTCGCATGTGGGGTTTTGTCTTCTCCAGGTAGCTGCCCACTTGGTCGAATTCTCATCCAGCTTGTGCGTTTTCCTGGTCCGCATCTAACCAAACAGAATAAGCTCTTAGCTACTGAATGATGGAAAATGGCTATGCGCCTGCATAGAGCTTGTTGATTCTCCTGTGCTGCAAGTAACCAAGCCGAACCAGCTCTTAGTATCTGAATGATGGCGTATGCCCATGCGCCCACATAGAAATCTGCTGAAGGCACCACACCACCCAAAAAAAAGAAGCTGCTAGAATTTTTCGATGACACTCAAATGAAACACCCCAATTCATGCCCAAAGCTTAATCTAAATTCCTGCGTTGCACAAAGCGCTTCTTGTTCTGAACCTGGCTTCCAAGTCTGGTGGATTGAGCAAGGTATCTGTGCAGGTCCAGCATGCTCCTCGCTCTCCTGAGGTCCGTTTGAACACGCGCGAAGAAAACTCATGAGCACCCTAAACCCTTTTGCATGAACCCTAAACCCACCTTTATGTCTGCTTTTTTAGGTCCCTGGTACGTTCCTCTATCATTCCAACTGTAAATTTGGAGGGTTCGTTTTAGCAAAGAAAAGGTCAGCAACAATGATCTAGTTTCTTGCCTAGCAGACACCGAAGCCGAAGTCTGAAGCAAAGACGTACATTGCCCGCTGTGACTCTGCACCTCAAAGTCTGGTCGGGGAGTTTGGTTTCCTTGTCATGCATTGCAAACATGTGACTTTTTGCTCAACCAGACTGAGGCACTTGTACCAATGCAAGGCAAAAGCCCGGAATGAAGCGCATCGGGCAGCCGCAAAAGCGGTGGTAATAAGTTCGATCTCAGAAGATGCTGCGGGCACAGGCGAAGTTTCACGTTGAACGCAACTGTACGGCTGTTGGTGCACGTCGCACATCTCACTCATCTGGATGGGAAATGGGGGCACGGATCTGGATCCCAACAGTAGTAGTCCCTAAAGAGTACTGAAAGAAACTCAACTGCCCACTCCTTCATTCCTACCACATCAGGCAAGAACAGTTTTAAACACATGCTAAGCCCTTGCAGCTGGCCTCTTCTGACGTCACAAGGCTCCCCATTGCAGGCTTGTGTCCAGCTTCTATGTGAAGTGGTTTGGGGCACAGTGAAGATCGTGTCACGAAAATGAGGCGACTGCTGGGTTTACACTTTTGTTGGCGGCACCTGTTAGCCAGAACTGCCATCAAAACCTTTGCTTTATCTTGTTATAGCAAATCGATATTCTGCACAAAGGCTTGCAACTCCAAAATCTTCCTTGGTTGCGGGTATGCAAGCGGGCCTTCTTGGCCTGACCGTCAAGGGCTAGGAAGCCTTAACTCTGGATCCTGAAGAGCACACCACTTTCTCGAGAGGTTCGCATATTTCTTCCCAGAGCGCTCTTAAAACGTTGCTGAGTAAACACGTGTAAACATCACGCGTAGAGGTCCAAAACTGCGGCGAGAGGACGGTTTCCAACCTCTGAGAACTCCAAATGTCAATAGAACAGTGGGATACGGTGGGCATACTATGATGTTGCACCATCAGCACGAGGTACTGCAAGCATGAGCTGGAATGTGGAACGCGTCTTGAGCATTGATTGTGATGGTGTGATTCGTGACATGCGACAACGCAGAACGTTGCGTTATCCTGTGCACGACGTGAAGCGGACCCGCGCGTGTGCACTGTGAAGAGCAGGAATTGAAGCCAAACTCAGTGGATGCTGCACAGGAAGAGCCCACGGTTACAACTCGTATTGCGCCCATGAAAAGTTGACATCGTAAATTATGAGCTGCAGAAGCATCGACAAGATGTAACGCCCTGGGCTCGATAACCTTGTCCCCTACCTTCAGTCTCAACATGAGTCCAGGACCCGCAAACATATGTTGGGCCGGACTGACACACCGCGCCAAGAAGCTAATCAATCCCTCATGCGATGGCAAAAGATTCCTGCAAGGGACCCGTTGAGAACCTGGGCTTCAGCTCAACATCCCAAACCCCAAGCTTCAAATGCTCGGCCCTCTGCAGCAGAGCCGGAATCCTGAAGCCCAAGGCCCACCCCGCATCGCAGTTCTCGCAACAGTCGTGTCTCGGCACTCACGAAAGGTGGGCAGGGTATGAAGTTGGCCGGGGTGTTCCTTTAAGCAGCAGTCCCAGCGAAGAAGTAGACGAACTATTGTATGAAGAGGAGTTTGGGTCAGATATCCGGAACTACTCATGTTCCTAGGAGGAATTAGGATCATCGTCAAAGTATTCGTAATAGTAAAGAAGAAAACTATTGTACGACAATGGCGGGGAACTCTTCTTGCGAACCCCTCATAGTACTATGAATGAATTGCTCTGGTGATGCTGAGGCTTCGGGAACTAATCAACCATCCATGTGAAAGTCTCAGCTAACTCAGTTCAAGGAACACACCAATGGAGCCCGCTCGCCGAAGGGCACACTTTCAGGGGCCATGGAATTAGGCAACATTATCACATACGATGTCCACTTATAAGCCCATCATAACCGTGTTGCACTGCTTCAGTAGTTTACCCAGCCCACTACTGAACCCAAGGTCCCACAAAGTATGGCTTAGTGTGTCAGATGCCAAAATCAACAGCTCTGATATGTGGAGATTGAAGATTTTGGGTCCTAGGCAACTGGGCGATGACAAACGCAATCTGTGGCTTCGGCTACTTAGCATGCTGGGCCGATGTCAACTGCTGCATGTCCTGCACAGATATGTACCTAATGTATAGTGTAGTCGCTGCAGTACACCTATGGAAGTTTCTCATCGTGATTCCTATAGAAACCCCGGCCCTTAACCCTACATCCTAGACCGTGAATCCCTTCGGGATCCACCCAGATGCACCATTGTCTGACGCGGGAGCGAATGGCACGCATTGCTTCCGCGCTCAGCGAGCCGCGCAAAGTTTCACCCCAAAAGGATCCTCATGTAATGCTTATAGCCCCCCTAAGTATGCTATATACCTGCATGGGCGCTTCGGGTTCACCATACCACTCATTGCCTAGTCGAGCCAATTTGGCTAAGGCCTTCAAGGTCTGCTGCCTGGTTGACTGGCTGTAGCATGCATGGGCAATACGATCTTCCATATTCTTTTTTAAACTGACTGGCGATTGATTCTGCAAGAACTGTTGGAAGGCATTGTGAAGCATCCAATTGTCGGCAGAATACTTGTATAACACAGCATTGATCTCCGCAACGCCAAAATTTTATAGGGCATGATTCTGCAAGCTTTGTTGGAAGGCGTGATGCAGCATCCAAGTGTCGACAGAATATGCATATAGTACGCATCGAACTTTGCAATGCCAAAGGGTTGTGGTGCAGCCTCATCGGTTGAGTAGTGCTGCCGCAGCTCTGGAGGAGCGAGCGATGTCCTGTCCAGAGGCTCGGGCATACTCATGCAACAAGGTAGCAGCCGTGCTTGGGGGATTCATGGTGGCAGCATAAGCAATTCCAGCAATATTGTATCGGTTGCGCGAAATGACGTATGCCTTGCCATTCTTGTCCCGATAGACCTGGTCGTCTTCAGTTGCCTTGACCGAGGTCACCCATGATCCCCCAGAAATCTTCGCTAAGGATCCCCAAGCAGTGCCACACACGATGACCTGTGCCACGTTCTTTGCAGACGTGGCAGCGTTGTGGATGACCCTGGCAATGGACCAGTCATCCTCAGGGCCACCATACATTGGGTGACCTATGGCATAGAACGTGTTGTTGTTCGGAACGTTGTGTGCTTCCATAGGTGCCATGTTGCGAAATTTCAGAATAGAATGCAGGCCACCAACTGTTGTAGCATGTGCCCAGAATAGCATCTGATTTTCTCTGCTGGGCAACGGGGCATCCTTGACAGTCAAGTCCTGCGAAGTCAACAGATAATATGGGTAGAGAAGCTCCGGGTTGGGGTTGTCCCATGTACACAGGCCTCGATCAGACCCATAATCATGCTCCAGCAAAATACCGCGTTGTATTCCAAACCTGCAAGCACATGCAATGGCCTGAACGTACTGCTGAGACTGGCGAGGAAGCTCAAATCCTTGCACCTCGAAACTTGACCAATTAATGTTGTATTGGTTGATGTTGTGTGGCATGCTGACATCGGTGTCAACCAAGGTGCTGGGCATCTGTCTCTGTCTGCGTTGTTGATCTGCCTCCTGCTGCATACGCTGCTCCATTGAAGGACCTCTTCTTCTGCTTCTGCTTCTGTGTCTACGCTGAGGTGGAGGAGACGGGGATGGTGAAGGAGACGGAGAGGGTGAAGGTCTGGCTCTGCGATGTCTGTCTGGCTGTCTGCTTCTCCTTGTAGGGCTGCTCCAGACTCCTAAATTTGCGTGAGAAGTAATATCTCCAACACCTGGTGCTTGATCTCGATTGGCTTCGCCTGGCCTCTGATTGGAGGATGAAGCTGCTGAAGCTGTTCGTGCTCGCCGCACCCTAGGAAAGGTCGAGTAGGGTCTGGCCTTGTGCTTCGCTCTGGTGCCCTCATATGTTTCTTCACGACGCCTTCGAGGAAGAGGTTCTAATTCTTGATAAGGCCGGCTCACTGATTGGCTGGCTGACGGTGTGTCCTGCTCCACTCTGAAATCCAAAGCTTGTAGCGCATCCTGCTGCTGGTTGCTTAGAATTTGAATATGCGGTCGCTGTCTTCTCAATGGAGATCTGTCTCTCCGCGGTCTTCGCAAGTTTAAAAGCTGTTGCACATCTTGCGGTCTGGCGTTGCGTATAGTCAACGTAACATCCATGGCAGGCTCCAAGAGGAAAAGTTACGATCAATCAAGTAGAAAAGAAAAAAAGAAAAGAAAAGAAAAGGAAAGAAAAGAAAGAAAGAAAAGAAAGACCCAAACATATACAGTCCAAGGCACTCCAAGTCACATAAATAAAGAATTTACTGAAACATTCTTAGAATTAGTGTTCCCATGAAATGAATGAGCTCAAATGTTGTACCTCTCAGGGGGACTTCAAGAATTCTTCAGCCAGGGATCAATCAGCAACCATGCTGGGTCAAGACGTCAATTTGTCCATTCCGGACGGTCAATACTCAACGTTTGCTGTTTGAGTTCTTCTTAAAGGGGCCCCTCAACATCATAGCCTCTCAGGCTGGTCCTCCCGGAGGAGTAGTCAACAGTACGGCGTCACAGTCCGCGGTAA